TTTCTAAATAATTCCCAAGTGTTGCCAATGCTGCTAGTCTGGGGACCGCACTTTTAAGAACCACCGTTCCACACCTTTGCTCCTCAAAGTGTGTCAAGAGAATCCACAGCATCAGCATCCTCTGCGAGATGCTTAAAAACGCAGCATCCCGGGTCTCAACCTAGGCCTACCGAATCAGACTGCACTTTTGACAAGATCCCAGGTGATTCGTGTGTACCCTAAAGTGTGGTCCTCATCACAAACTTCTGAGCCAAGACAGACGCTAAAGAAGGCAACCGGCAAATTTTAATTTACAGAGAGTGTCTCTGGGGCAAGTGTTAGCAAGGACTTCAGCCACCCCTGGACCACAGCGGGGAAGGGAGAGGTTCTGGGCTCCCAGGCTGTGGCACTCCCCACCCCATCCCGCCCCGGGCTCCTCTCGCCCCCCCCCCCCACCCTGCGCAGGCCGACTACTGCGCAGACGCAGACGCCGCGCTCCTCCCCTCGAGTCTCCCGGGTCCTCCGAACCACCGAGCCCTCCTCCTAGAGCGGCCCCTTAGGAGGCACCCATTTCTCCCCTCCACGGGTGCCCATAGCCATCCGGAAGTGCAGATGCCTGCGAGGTTCTGAGTCTTTTTTAGAACACCTGTCGTTCCTCTTTCATTCACCCCACAAACGATTCTTGAACGCCTGCCCTTTGGCAGACAGGTGTTCGAACGAGACACGGTCCCCGTGGTCCCTGTGGGACTGGGTGATGAATGCTGTACCTCCTAGGAGCTGGAGGCGCGGGGGCCGGATTGATGAAAGCTGTCCCGGAGGCTAACGGCCCTGAGACTGGCAGTTGCCTGCCATGTAGGCACTCAGATGTTTGGTGGAAGGAGATCTCCAGTTGGAGAACATTCCGAGTGGAAGAAAGGTGGCTATTATGAAAACGTCTCCATGTCCAAGGCACGTGGGTGCCTGGAGATGAAGCGGGAGAGGTAAGTAGTGGCGATCTTGAAGAGCTTGGTATCCTGATAAGAAATGTAAATAATGTCCTGAATAGTCTAGACGGTATTTTAATCCAGACATACGAGCTCTGATTTGTACTGTATCTGAAGGCTCTTAAGAGCATGGTGACAGAATGAAGGCGGCAGTGGCCTGACATTAGGTGTTTATTCGTTAGCAGTCTTTTCTCTTCCACTAAGACGTAGCTCCCAGGAGAGAAGGACTATGTCTGTTTAGTTCGTTTTTCTTACCCACCACTTAGAGAGTGCCTGGTACACAGCAGACCCTTAAAGAATGTTGGATGGATGAATGAATCAATTTGCAGTTGATAGGACTTAGTAACTAATTGGAGAGTAGATGAAAGTAGGAGGTAGAGAAGACTGATGTACTGAAGATTGGAAGAACACAAATTGTGGAATCCTGTCTAGTAGGTATTTGTTGAGCAGATCTGGGCTGACCACCACCAAGATGCTATAGGGCAGAAGTCCAGAACAGGCTCCAACTCGTGGTGTAGTCAAGGGAGGGGGAGGGGCCCAGAGCCGAGAATCTGCTACCAAGTACCAGTTCTGGGTTTTAGTCCCACCAGCAAAACATGTCAGTTTCCTTTCATGCCACTCACACGACCAAATTTGAGAAGTACATACTTTTTTGTTTTGTTTTGAATATCAGCCACATGCGCAGAATCCATGACCGTGGTTTTATGGCTATTTATATGACTGTGGTTTTAAGGCTGTTTATTATTTCATTACACTGATGTAACATCACTTAATAAAACCATTCCCTTGTGCTTTTGTTGTTTGTTTACTGTCAGAGATAATGCAGGAATGATTATCTTCATGCCTTCCTTTTCCTTTTTTTTTTTTTTGTGCTTTTGTCAAATACTTCCCCCCACAGGAATAGATCACTAGTCAAATAATATTTTATCTTATAGCTCTTACTATATATTGCCTCATTGTTTTCCAAAGAGTTAAACATAGCAACAGCAACATCCATTTATGCAACAATTAC